GCCATCCTTGGTTTGGGGGTGTGACATATGGGCTCCTTGCTCTTTACTTTTTTTTATCTTGGGTGTGATTTGCAAGGTCGAGACGTCTTTCCTAGAAGGTTCTTCCTCATTAGTCATTGATATGTGAGTGGCTGATGAAACATTCGATGAGATTGTGAATGTGGAACCCCTTGTTCCATAAAAGGATATGGAATAACCTAACCCTCTTCGTATTCAGAGATGATGATTATGAGTAGTAATGGTGAAGACAACTTTGTGATATTAACAATATCCTCTTTTCATTAATCGAGTTTATAGTATAGAGGTTGTATGAAATCGTAACTCATGAAGATTTCTGAAACATCCCAAAATACGGTCCAAAATTTTCATTTTTAAATCATTAATTAAACCATAATTACTAAAAATCATTTACCAAAACATGAATCATAATATCTCAAATGTCAAAACAGTGTATCCATATCAATCACATGTCAAATGAATCAGAGTAAAATATCCAAGGCTAAACATAAACGGTGTGTGCCATGCAGTCATCTCGAGCTCTTCCCCTTGCTACCGGAAGTACCTGAAACCAAAGTTAAAAACTGTAAGCACGAAGCTTAGTGAGTCTCCCCAAACTACCACATACCATACACATATCACATATTCACATAACTTTGGCCTTGCCCGCTACATCGGGCCCCGCCCGGCATCGGACCGAAATTCGGTATACATATAAACATATCAACAATGCATATAACATAAATACATAACATAAACATAACTTGGGCCTAGACCACTACATCGGGCCCCGCCCGACATCGGACCGAAATCCGGCATCGAGCCCCGCCCGGGATCGAGCAAAGCTCGGTATACATAAGCATATCAACAAATACATATAAACATAAACATATAAACATTCCTCGGGCTTGCCCCGACATCGGACCGAAGCCCGGGACACATAAACAAACACATGCAAGAATCACAAAGACATCAAGCATACAAACATTCCTCGGGATTTCCCCGGCATCGGACAGAAGTCCAGAAACATATAACCTATATCGGGCTAACCCGGACATCGGACTGAAGTCCGGCATACACTATCATACAAAACGGGCCGGCATTGGTGTCTTAGACCCGTTCCTACTGGAGGAAAACTCACCTCAAACTGCTGAAGTCCCACGAATAAATCTCTGACTACTGGCTGACAGATTCCCGAACTATCAACATCAAAACAAAACCCAATTAACCATTTGGGTTTCAATGCATAACCATAAACCCACACTTGGGGTAAAAGGACCATTTTACCCCTAACCTAGCTTGGTCCAAGACCAAGGCCCAAACTCATTCTCTGAAGGCCCAAAAGTCAAACAATGAACTAAAGCCCAACATATGGCCTAATTTTCTAAATTGGGCCCAAACCTCTACATGGTCTTAACTTAAGACCCAACCATTTATTCTGGTCCAAACACTTGGCATTCCAATGGTCCAATATCTCATAATCATCAAGGCCCAATTATGGCCCATCTATGGCCCAATTTTCCAAATTGGGCCCAAGCCTTTCCAATGGGCCTTATCCTAAAGCCCAATTCAAATATTCTAGTCCATATGCTTGTTCTTGGATGGCCCGTTAGTAGCCCAATCACCAAAGCCCAATAGAAAGGCCCAACTCAAGGCCCAAGCCAAATTAGGGTTTTCTAAACCCTAATTAGGGTTTCCAACCCAATCATGTTCCAATTAATCCATTTGTTAAGTTTTTAGATTAATTAATTATTAATTAAGTTGGGCACCACCCTCTACCACCTCGGGTAGTGGTGGTCAATGGCGGCTCGAAGCGGAGGCCACCACCTCATGGTGGTGGTTATGAATTTCCTTGATTATTCCGGCCACTAATTACAATTGTACACAATGTCCCAAAATAACACACACACACATACACTCACGCACAACCACCCTTGTGGTGGCCGGCGGTGATACAAGGTGGCAACCACCACCTCACAGTGGTGGTGGTGGCTATTCCGTGAATTCCAACCAAACAAAGCACACACACGCTCCTTGATCGCAACATAAATCCAGCCACCCACCTGGTGGCGTACGGCGGCGGCGTTGGCACTATATGGCGACAGCAGCGGCGGTTTGCGATGACAGCCACCACCTCACGGTGGTGGCAGCGGTTTCTCTTGATCCTCTGCCCAGCAACACGTCAACACACGCGAGTAGAATACACACACCAACACCATATCACACATACAGCCACCTCTCACGGTGGCTGGTGGCGGCAGAAGAACACTTTAGCGGCAACCATCATGGTTGGCTGCCATGGTGGTCCGCCTAGCTTCTCGGTCAACAACATATCCACATACACACTTCACAGACACGATCTGGCACAAGAAACACATCCAATCACAACCACATTCGCGGTGGTGCATGGTAGTCGGAGGGTAGGCGTCAACCGCAACCGCTGCTCGGTATGTCGATGGCAACGATAGCTTAGCGACAGAAAAGAACGGAAACGAGGGGGGCTCACGGTCTCCGGCGAGGAACAATGGCGGCGATGTCATGGTTCATCCCCTCAGCCTCTTCTGCCCCGACGTCTAACGCTCATCTCGTCGATCCTTCAATCGTCGGCGGCAACTGAGGTGGCGTGGCTGGTGGCTCGCGACTTCGTCAATGGCTAGGAGGCGGCGGTGGTGACCGGTTGAAGATGTTATGGGTGGCGGCCGGTGGTTAGGGGATATAAGGTGGCGGTTGTTGAGTCCCTTAGGGTTAGGGTTAGGGTTAGGGTTATCGGGGGCTATATACCCGACTCCCATAGAACTTCCTTCCATAATGACAAGATCAGTCCTTCCTTTCTCTTTTTCTTTCAAACTAAGTCCATAATTTACCTTTTCTACCCTGACTTCGGAAATCCCTTTCAAATCCAATCCGTAATTTACCCAACAGCCCTCAGTTCTCAAAATCCTTTCATAATAAGTCCAATACTTACCAAACGCCCCTGCCTTCTAAAAATATTTACAAAATAAATCCCGAAATTACACTTTAACCCCCCCCCCCCCCCCCAAAAAAAAAAAAACTCTCAATTATAACTTTTTAACCCCCAAAACCAACGCCTTGCTAAATTATTCCGCATTTAGGCTACTATCCATATTAATTTTATCTGTTTATTTATTTAATAAACAGGGTGTTACAATTTCATAAACATGCGTATTTCTTAAGGTGTTCATAAATATCTAAGAGGAATATACTTAGAGTATCATAACCGAGTAATTGGTGTTTTGTAGTAAACATTAGACACGATTGATGTTTATGAGCATTTAGAGTTTTATGAGGATGTTCAATATTTTTGTTTATCCACTTATAGGATGTTACTTGTATCCATGTTCCTAAGGGTTCTCCTTTGTGTCTCTAACTGTGATCTTTCTTGAGTCTCCTAGAATCTCCAAGTGTTTTAGTCTATTAGCAACCGAATCCAAGTATAGTTGTGCATCAATCTAACCATAATTAAACATAGGTGATCAGTCTACATTCAGTTGTTGTTCGACCCATGTAAAACAAACTTAGCTAAGATGTTTGCCCTAAAACCTTGCGTTGTATTCTCATTGAGGGTTTGAGTTTAAATATAACTCTATATTTGTAGGTTAATGAATATACATAACCTAAGAGTGTAAGCCCTAGGCTATAGTCGTAATACCCTAAGAAAATACTAGTTCGCTATGGCCAATAGCTTTGATACCAATCTGTCACACCCACGGCCGACGACGGAAACGCTGGGCTATGCGACGTTGTCTTGGATCACAGTTATTAAACATACATTGAAAAATACAAAAGTATAGCATAAATAGTGAATTTATTACTACTAAAAAGAAATTACAATGATATTCCAAGTTACAATAATCTGATGCCATAAACAGTAGGTTACTTCATAAAACTGCACCAATAGTCTATATGTGATTGTGATTTCATGACTACTCATATGTATGTTTACTGAGAGTGTAATTTTATACCAAAAGTATGTTTACTGAGAGTGTACTGTTATACCAAAAACATGTTTGTTGAAAATGTACGTTTATACCAAAAATATATGTTTACTAAGAGTGTATTTCTATACGAAAAGTATCTTTACTGAGAGTGTACTTTTATACCAAAAGTATGTTTACAGAATATGTACGTTTATACCAAAGGTAGTGTTGTACGACATATAGGTATGTTTCGACTTAAGTTTGATTATGGTTACAATGAGTTCCTAATAATCGAGTTGTTGACAAGTTGTTTTCCCTCACAATGCTTCATTGAACATTGTCACAGTTTAGACAGTTATCACATGCGTGACTCGTTCGTCAAAGTTGTATCTAGCAACCACATGTGGGGGTGTCAACCCGTATAAATCTATACATAACTCTTTTTCTCACTTAATACGTAACTATTATAGGCAGTGGTCTTTCTAAGTGTTACCACTTAGTTCGATCAATATGTCTCATTTAACCGTTGTAGCTTAACTTTATAAGTTGAAGCTATCAGATCTGTTGTATAATTATAATATCGTTTTATATTTATAGAGTTTAATTAATTTGTAAAAATTAAAAGAGCTGAGTAATGACAACGTATAATTATTATATTATACGGACAGAGTAACAAAAACGTATAATAATTATCGATATTATACAGATAAAGTAACGACAGGGTATAATAAATATTTTATATTATATGGTCACAGCGACGACAGAGTATAAATATTTTATATTTGTACAGAATAACGACATAGTATAATACATATTTCATATTATACGGACAGAATAACGACAAAGTATCAATGTTTTATATTTGTACCGACAAAATGACGACAAAGTAAAACTAAGCTTTTTAAAAATAATGCATTAACATTTATAATATAACAATAGAAATTGATATAAAGTAAATAATTAGTTAAACATGTATTCCCTCCGAAAAACAGTAAAAATCTTGAAAATGGGTCGTAAAACTCATCTTCGTAGCGTGCTTTAATCGATATTGATTCATACCGAAAAGTGCTAAGAGGTTCGGGATTACATGGGCTCAAGGGGAAAAGAAACTCCAAAGAAAATAATAATAAAACTAAAATGAAATGAAATGAAATAGAAAATAAAATAAAATAAAAATAAAAAAAGAGTTCAAATCATATATTTTGAAATGAATTTGTTCTGCGAATTGAATAAAGCGCAACGTGCTTTTGTAAGGGTGTGCCGCTTCTGCAAGGATTCGTCTGATGGCTTGACACGCGTCCATTTTTCCTATTTCCTCAACATGTATTTGACATATCTTTAAAAAGGGTAAATTACACCATTCCTCCCTCGTGCATATGTCCAAACGCACGTTTAGTCCCTATTTTCAAAAATTAACTCGGACTGTCCCTCGTTTGCTTCAAACTTGCACGCATCGTCCCTGATATGTGTTTTTGTTGCAAATATAGTCCATGCTAGATCTAAAATGACCATAATACCCTTAATGTTTTTATTTTTCATTTATCCTTACTTATTCTTTTTGTAATTTATTTATTATTTGTTTATTTAAAAAGGTAAATGGTCCCACCACTCTCTTTGTTCTCACATCATGTTCTCATCTTAGAGAAACTAACGTAACATCGTCTTAGTTTACCAACACCTCCCAACACCGTCGGAAACCAGTGGTTTGCCACCGGAGTCCATTGGAAACCACTTACCTCTGCTGATATGTATTATGAAGCTTATATACAACATGAAAGATGAATAATGGAAACGAAAAACATCTCGAGATCCAATCCATCATCCTGAAACCACCACCATTTTCGGTGATGTTCTAGACCTCACTGGTACATCCATGGCAGATGAACGCAACCGTCCCAAACCCTCTCTCTCTCTCTCTCCGATCCATCATCGTATGTCCCAAAAATCAAAACCCAGAACTTAAGCTATACGAAATCAAACATCAAAACTCTGTGTTCAAGATCTGCAATGGATGAGCTATGTGTTCTTGTTCATAGAGTTCTAGGGTTTTTTGTAGGTTTACTCTCCCAAACGATTTCTGTAATTTCTTCAAACAATTTTCTAGGCACGAGTTTATAGATCTAGAGGATCGATGGGAATGAGTTATAGATCTAGAGGATTGATTTTCCAGAATTTTCATAAACGATTTATGGGATTTGTACAAACGGTTTTAGGGATTTCTTGAAGCACTGTGTCAATATTCTTGAATTCGGAACTTAAGAACTTCAAACGTTTTTCTGGGATTTGTCAAAACAATTTCCAAATGAGTGTGTGTGTTTTAGGTTGACTTGGGATCTCAACATTAATTTTGATATCAAGTATTTTTCACCAGTGGTGGTGATTTCCGGAGACGGTTGTCGGATTGCTGCAAATGGCCGGTGGTGTTGAAGCTCCGACTGCAATTGAAGGAATGGTTCAAGAGAGAGAGGAAGATGAGGGAGGAGTGATAAAAGAGGGTGAGACCTACTAATTCAATAATTAAAATAATTATATAAATGAATTAGTGTAATATAAACTAGGTGAGTGACCCCGCGTTGCGGGGTTAGATGTGATATTTTTTGTTCGGTTGTAAGTTGTGATCCCAACACATAGCAATGGAGCACCGGAATCAAGTGGAAATTGTCTGCCCAATGCAACACAAAGTGCTCATCAGCAACCATGTTATCAGAGTGGTCACCGTATGTGATTGTGCCATCAGATGAATCAGTGCAAACAAAATCCATTCAAATAGCTCTCTTAAGTCATGCTTAGTCTGCAACATGAATCAGAGGATGAATTAGTGCAAACAAACTGAAGCTTATGAAGCATTAAACTTTTAAAATCCACAATGTTGTTTGTAAATAAAAATGTCAAAACGGTAATTTTTACCTAAATGACAAAATAGCCTTAAATCTGATGTGTTTAAGGTTATTGAATAATGACCTTTAAACGGATACCCTTTTGGGTTGTTTCATTGCATCAGCCATAATGTTGTTCAAATTCTTTCAAACCTGCACATCACAAATATGTTTGCCATTTTAAAAAGGCATGAAAGCTAGTTTTTATAAAGTATACTGTTGTAAATGTGCAATTATTATAAAGTACCCATAAATGCCTTGGTAAAAAATCAGGACATCCATCAGCCAAAGAATTTCTTCAAACTGATGATTAATCAGAGAGGAACATGTTGGTACATTGGATTAATCAGTGAACAGAAACTTTGTAGAGTATAATAATTATTTTATTACTTAATGAGGCAATGTCAAAAAAATACTACAAAAGGATATGTTATAGAATATTAAAATATTGTTACCTTGAAAGGATGAAGAACTAAAGAATCTGGGCTTGTACCGTAGATTGATGCACATAGACGTGATACTACTGGATGAATGTGAAAGTACCTACAAATATGATTTAATAGTAGATTAGAAAACAAAAAATGGTACCTGGTGTGCTATAGATAATAGACAATGTAGGTCATCAAATTTTCATTATCTTTTGTGAGTTCTTCAAACAAATGAATGGTTTAAAATTTTGATGTTAATATCTGTACAATGAAATACATGTTATGCTGACTTCATAATGTAATTTACCATAGGTAAAAATTAATGTCTGAAACATAAAGGAAAAAGAGTAAATTGGTTGAAGAGTGGCATCCCAAGTTACACCAAAACATGTATAAACTGTGAAATTACTTTAACTATTGTATAGTTGGTTTTGAGAACTGACCTAAGTCCTTGTTCGCTTTCTCTTCTTGATGTTGTTGTTCTTCTCCCATATTTTTCTCTTCGTTCGTAGGTGTGTAGTGTTTCTAGGGATCGAATCTCACCTATATACCCTGCAAACTTACACAATCAATTTCCAATTTGAGACACATGAAATCTGGTTACATTAAATAAATGAAATTCTTTAAAAGTTTGTTGGCTTTAGTCTGTTACAAAGACTACTTTACATGAAACAAAAAGGATATTAAAAAAAAGTTATTGATTTTTCGAACAGGATTTTAAAAATGAGGCTATGTTACTCATCAACATAATTTGAATAACCATAATTTAATATGATTATTATGTCGTTACATATAATAAGAAAGCCACTCTAGGTTGTTAATAATTATTTTTTGCGTTCCTCTATTAATGACTCATATACTGCCTTCACTCCCTGTTTAATAAAATGTTGAGAAAAAAATCAATATTTTTAGAAAACGGGACCAAAGGGTTGTTTCTTTTTCACACACTAAGCTCATTAAGTGAAAGAAACACAGCCCTTAAATCTTTAAGAAAGATCATGGAGTAAACCTGAGTTGAGATTGTCTTTCATATGTTCCCAGTTATGCATTCCACAATACTTTTGTAAGCCGAATCTTCATGCATACCATCTTCTGTACACCTTCTAAACAAACCCTCGACAATGCCATGCATAACACCAAGAAAAAAAGATTATTGATTTTATATGTCATACAAAAAATATTAACCTGAGTTCAGATTGTCTTTCAGTTTACGTAATTATCTGTGTAGGTGAGACAGACTGTTCAACATATAATAGAAACATATTACCTTCTCTTGAGCATTTCCATTATGCATAGATCAACTGAAAGCATAACACAACATACATTAAAATAGTGATAAGATACAATTGATTTCTAGAAAACTAAGTGAAATGAATCATAATAGTACCTTATTAACAGTAGGATTATGGATAATTTCATTTGTGATCCAAATCTTATCATCAGGAAACTGTTTTCTTACCACATAAGCTATCCAAACTGCACACTCAACACCCCAACAAAAGCCATGAGATTCTGCAAGCTTCACAGGTGGATATGCATCAACTGAAAATTCAATGAAGTGATGAAGTTACTAAATTGGAAGTGAGATAAAAACGAAAAAAGCAAGATCAAGATACTGCTTATATTACCTATTGGTTCTCCAAATGAGCCTACAAAAAGTATACAATACATTAATTGCAACATGAGCCTACAAAAAAAAAAAGCAAAATCAAGATACTGATTATATTACCTATTGGTTCTCCAAATCCACCAGGTGCATATGCCTCAACTGAAAATTCAATCAAGTGATGAAGTTACTAAATTGGAAGTGAGATAAAAACGAACAGAGATAGTGAAGATTAGAAAGAAACACAAACCAGCGAAAGTTTTCTCGAGAATCTCCAACTGGAAAGCTTACTTCATCTTCCTCTTAACCTTCGGCTCTCCTCCTTCAGTCAAATTTTTGTTCTCCCTTCCGAACCGCCACCGTCATGGCCGCTAGCACCACCGTCCATTGGCTTAAGAATATCGAAATCGCGAACTCCGTTTTGCAATTGAGGTCAAACCCAACACAGAAACCGGTTTAATTAGCAGCTAAAACATCAAAAAACACTTGAAGCGACCAAATCCAAAATCAATTGAATCCAATAATTTCAATAACTCTCAGCCAAAACCGATACGTGTATTGCTATGGAATTGGTTGGGAAGCGATTGTATACCAAAACCACCAAAAAACCTAATCACACAGTGCCTATGAACTAAACCCTAATAAAAATAAAACTTACAAATGGCATGGTGAAGGCGATGAGACCGATATAAAACAACGATAGATACCTGATCAATTTTGATGTCGCCATGTCGGCCCACATCGGAGTACCAGCAGAAGGCTGTAGAAGTTGGTGGGTCCTGTAGGTTTTGTATGAAGAAATCAGAAGAAGCCGACTTCAGCAACCACGACCGTTGTTCCTCGTCTTCGTTTTTTTTTTTGGTGAATTAAAGCAAGCAGAGGGGGGGAATCGGTGGAATGATGGAGCGCGTAGAATCTGAAAAGCGAACGTCATCTGTAGTCGACACCGCCATTGACGAAGATGCTGAGTAGCAGTGAGCGTTGGAGAAAACCATGGAAAGCACTCGGTTAGCAATTCGTTGATTCTGATCAACCGGAATCGAGTTCAGAGTGAGGCGGTGGTTTGGAGGTGGGTAGGGAATGGAAGGAACTGGAGAGTGATCGTCTCCAAAAGACAGAGGCAGATAGAAAGAAATAGAAGGCGGTGGAAGTGTATGTGATTCCTAACAATTGTCCAAGTTTAATATGTATATATAATATAATGCACATAAATAATAATAATGTGATAGTAAGGGACCCAAAACGTAATTCAAGGGACGAAAGCCGGACAAAATGTGTCAACTTAACTGTTCTTTTTCTCCACAATTTTAATATATATATAATAATGAATTAAAAAATATAAAAAGAAATTAATAAGGGCAATATAGTCATTTCATGTCAATAGGGACTAAGTGTGCAAGAAAAAACAAATCCAGGGACAGTCCGAGTTAATTTTTGAAAATATGGTCTAAACTAGCGTTTGGACATATGCACGAGGGACAAATGGTGTAATCTTACCTATCGCATACAAACCTCATTTTTGACATTTTTTATATCGCCGCATTCGTATCAACGAGTACTACAATTTTCTTATAAACTTCAATAGCATATTCCTCTTCTATTTTCAATTTATACTTTTATAAGGTATGTACTGAAAAATATTTTGCGAAAATCATAACTCTCTTATAAGAACTCCGTCTTCGGCCTTCTTTATACCGCTATGTTTGTACTGAGGAGTATTTCAATTCTCTTTTCCGTTGGTGTGGTAAAAACTCAACCAATTCTCCTCTGACTTTCTATGACTTTCTATGACGCACATTTTTGCGTAGAGTTGAATGTAAATCTTTATAAAAATCATAACTTCCGCATACGAAGTCAGATATTTAGGTTCTTTATATTTCCGGAATCGTGTCAACGTGTACTTTCGTAATATTTTACTATTTTTACATAATAATATAAAATTTTACACACCTAAATTCTTAGTTTTTGGACATTTCGACTGATTTTACTTATATATTTAAATATATAACATTTTATTTTCATTTAAAAATGATTATACATTATACACTAGGTCGTTACATTGATGTTCATCACTTTTGTGATTGACGATTGTTGACTAATTTTTGACGGTTGTCACACGAACCGGACCCAGAACCAAACATGGACTTGGACCTGGTAAGCCTCAATAGGTATGGTCTAAGGTCCACCAATTTCTACAGAACATGTCTGGTCCAAGAACCGATCTGGGAACCAGACCTGGACTTTTATGTCCAAGAACCGAGAATCGGACCTGGACTTGGTAAGCCTCAACAGGTCCAGTCCAAGGTCCACCGTCTTCTATAAAACCGTTCTGGTCCAGGAGTCGACCCGACCCTGGTCCAAATGCCCACCCCTACATTCAGTAGTATACTTCTAGGGACAATAATTGTCAAATTTATAGACTTAATCTTGATAATATTACAAGCAAATCGTAATTATTACATAATAAATCTCGTCTGAGAAATTATGTCTGGATAAGTGAATTAAATAATGATGTGATGTTCCTGCAACACACTTTTTCGAGAAATTAATGTAAACTCGAAAATACGAAGAGGACTCAACTTCTGTTTTCCTATAAAAGGATGCAACCTGCATAACCATTTCAGTAAAAAAGAAATCTCCCAAAAAATGGTATTTCAAGTTGAAGAGAAAGTTGAGGTGATGATACAAGTAGAGGTGTTCGTTTGAATGGATCGGTTCGATCCGATCCAATAAAGCAAATCCAAATTGATTTCGGTTTTCAAAATATGGATCCGAATTGTCCAAACTAAATTCAAATCCAATTCGATCTAATCCAATTACAATTCGGTTGGATCGGTTTTTATAATTCGGTTTCAAAAGGCATAACATTTTAAAACGACATATAATTATAATATTATCCAGTTTTTATAGAAGAAGCAAAAAAAAATTATTTAGTTGTAATTTATAATTTGTAAACAACTACTAAGAATGTATATTATAATTTAATATTTAATAGATAAAACATGTTTGAGAGAAAATGCATATTAATTTTTTTTATTAGGTGAAACATTTTGAACTTTATTGAAAAAAATTATTTATAAAATTAATAAATAATTATAGATATATTAAAAATAATAAATAATAAATTATTATTCGGGTTTTTTGGACCATTCGGTTCTTGTTTTATAAATCAAAACCAATCCGAAAATCCAAAATAATAATTCGATTTTGGTGAAATCCAATCCAAAAATCCGAATATCCGAACCAAATAGTCCAATCCAAATTGTCCAATTGGATAATTCGGTTTTATCCAAATAATGAACAACCCTAGATACAAGAGCAAGGGTACAAGGGATCTTATTATCTAGGAGTAGTGTTAAGGAGTGATGAAGAAAGGTATGTGGTGACATTTGAAAACCTCTTCAACAAGTACGCAGAAATGATGAAATATGTAGCACGACAAGATCAATTTAGGTCGTTTCCACCAGAGGTAATGTCACCTTGAAAAAAGGAGATGTGAATGTATTACAGCGAATGGTGGTTAGGGTGGCTTGTGGAGAAGAAAGAAAACAAGTGTGTGATCTGTTATAATGCAACGCATTATTGAGGAGTCTTTGATTAGAAAGACATTCTTATATATATATATATATATATATATATATATATATATATATATATATATATATATATTAAAGATGACCAACTCATTGAATAGTGAACATGCTGGTCTTTCGGTAAAACTGGTCCATAAGTTTTCATATTTTTAGTGGTCTTTTTTGGTGGAAATGGTCCTCTGTCTATATATATCTATATATGTTTAAATTCGTCTTGAGGGTCATTTTCTGTCAATATCCATATTTTTTGTGGACACGTGTTGCTTCTGCCTTTGCTATTTCTTCTTTACATTATCTCCATCAGTCTCCAGATCCTTCCATACCGCCTCTCTGAATGAAATTTCGATTTGGGAGGAGAAGTAGGGGGAAAGGGATCTTTGGGGTTTGACGAGGCAAAAGGGAAGAGGCGACGAAGGAGGACGCGAGCAACAACAGTCACGAAGACGGGGTCTTCGGTGGACTTTTGCTCGACGGAAGATGAAGACGTGGGTGCAACGGGGTTGGATCAGTGGGAAGAAAAGGTCTCGACACTCAGCGGCGACAGTAGGCTTCTCCACCACTTCTTCCTCTTTTGTTTGGTTCGTCCGAAAACAAACCCAGATGAAGAAAGCATGGTGGTTCCGTTATGACATCGTGACGGGGGAGGCTGTTAGGACCGATAGAAAGAGGTGGGTTATGATGGCGGTGGCAGGCAGCGTTCCGAGTGCATGTTGGGTGTCGTTCAGATCGATACCAGGTAAGTGAATGGGGTTTGATGGGTCTTTGTTCTTGTGTTCTTGACTGGAACTGAAACATGGAGCTGTTTGGGTTTGTTTCATTTGACTCTTCACAAAGAAGAAGAAGAATCAGTGTTCTTTTTTTTTATCACGTTTCATCTTGGTAGAAATCGGTATGGGTTTGATGTTCTCATCGTCAACAGGTGGGAACGGGCAACTACACCCACAAGTATGTCTTGCTCTCCCTTTGTGTTGCAGCGCTTTTTGTTTGTTAATATTATTAAATCCGTTTTCATGAATAATTTTAATCTTTTTGGAGTGCAGAAAAAAAAAATTCAGGTCTTCTGTTATGTGTTGTCTGCTAAGATATTTCAATTTTTATCAACTTTTATATACTTTTGAATATCAATTAAATTTTTTAGATGTGATTACAGACATGGAGTTCGTTGCTACATTCCAATAAGTCTGAAAGGTTTGACATGGATCTTCTGTTGACAACAGTAGGAGGAATTCACAGCAACTCCATCAGTAAAGGGAAATAGGTGAGTTACTACTTTTAATGCATTTTATTGGATTTCTTTTTCTACAATTTATATGATCCTGTTCAACCATGACTCTAACTTTGTGCTTGTGATACTACTGATTTGACTTTTCTTGTGAGCAGAACTAATGTTTTTTTCTATTTTTTTCATTTCAACACAGGATTATTTGACTTGATTTTCAGCTATAATGTTCAAATATTTGAGAATTCATCATGCCGACCAAGTGTTCGATGTAAGTCCTGAACCAACAGTACCACTCCTGTAATCAATTTCTCAAAACGAAATTGATTGTTTCTCACCAAAAATTCAATGATTTCGTTGTTTTAAATCCAAGATATGAATGCAGAGGTAAAGCTTTCGTTTATGGCTTAGCCTCCATCTCTCCAAACATAGGTCCGAACTCCAGGTTTGATATTTGATGTCTTTGACCGGTTCGGTAGATGATGAGGCCCGACCACATTTCGAGGATGAATAGAGTGACATAAATACCTAATTTCGAAATAGATTGTATACAGTTCTAAGTTCTAACACTCGATTTTCGTTTTGTGATTTGTTTCAGAAACTTGGCATACATGGAGCTTGGGGGTTTATATCTCCTACCATTGGTAAACTCACTAGACTACATATACTGTAAGTGTATTTTTGGAGCTGTAATCTTAACTTATTTAAGTTAATTTGTGTTTGATTTATGCAAATTTTTTTGTTATTATCAGGGCACTCCACCAAATTTCATAATTTCTTTCAGGTATTAGAATTTCAGCGTTTAGCTTTGGTTCTATTCAACGAATTTGTTATTATTTGTAATTGTATTTTGTTTTGCACAACAGGTGTTTGATGAAACACCCGACTCAACCAACTCTGTAAAATGAAGTTCTTTTAATAGATGAGGGACGTATTTGAGGATTGAAGTCATTTCTACAAAAGATGACATTTGGGGAACAAAACACAGAGAAGGAGGTTCACTAAATGCTTCCTTATGCAATCTAACTTTTTGCAAGGTATATTGGTCATTTTTAGTTTGTTATCTCATTCTGCTTCATTTGTAGATTCCATCAGATGGGTTTTAAACTGATTCCAAGCTTCAAATATTGGATTTAAATGGTAATGCAGTTTCTTTACCTGAATAGCATGCATTTTCTTCAACTTTGCGTTATAAAATGTTAGTTTTTTTGCTTTGCATCTCATACTAAAGTTCGTTTAATAAATGTTTTGTTTGGGTTTCAATAAAGAAAGACTTCACTTTTATTAGTCGTCATGAAATTGAAAGGGTGTTACAATTTCTCTGGTTTCATGTCAAATAGTTAATTGACTTTTTTTTACCCATTGTTGTTCTTTGGAATAGATTCACCGTAACTTTGTAAGACTTGCTTTTGTTGGTTACCTCCATCTCATGGTAATTTTACCTTCTTTTCTTTTCCATATTCCTTTACCTGTTACAAACTTTCTTTTAAATTTCCCATGTTTCAAGTATTCAATTTATACTCAAGATTTTAGTGTTTTTGAAGCTGAAACATCTCAAATTTTGGATGTCGATTTCCCACTGCAAAAGAAGAATGTATTCCCTATTCTTTGGATGTTTCTTTTGAACAGTTAATACTTACATCTGGGTATTTGTAAATAGACTATAATATTATTCTTTTTTCCTTCTCATTCCTGCTTTCACATA